TGCTCTTAACTGCTGAGCTATCTCTCCAGACCTTAGTTGTATCTTTTAATGACACAAAAGAAGCCCTTTCTTTTTCTTTTTTTTTTTTTTTTTTTTGTTTTTCAAGACAGGGTTTCTCTGTATAGCCTTGGCTGTCCTGGAACTCACTCTGTAGATCAGGCTAGCCTCAGAAATCCACCTGTCTCTGCCTCCCAAGTGCTGGGATTAAAAGGTGTGGGCCACCACTGCCCGGCGAGGACTATTTTTTAAAAATGATCTGGCTTCCCACAACATTGGGAACTCATTCCTGGGTTATAACAGATGGGCATAGAAGGCTCCTCCCAGGTGTATACCACAAAGGAGGCCTTCAAAAAGGAGGATCCAGATGTTGCAGTTGGCCTTATGAGAATTCCTATCTTAGATGTGGCCACAAACCTGTTATTTTAGAAGCCCTAGATTCAGTCCTCCCCAGTATCACTGAAAGTGATCCATCTAGATAGAGAAAGATGACAAAGATGAGATCCCTCTAAGAGTCACTGTTAGATAAAATACACCCTGCCTCATCTGGTTCTCAAAGGAGCCCTCAGTTGAGGACTTGTTTTGTTTTGTGACACAGGGTTTCTCTGTGCAGCCCTGGCTGTCCTGGAACTCACTCTGTAGACCAGGCTGGCCTCGAACTCAGAAATCTGCCTGCCTCTGCCTCCCAAGTGCAGGGATTAAAGGCGTGTGCCACGCCCAGCAGGGCTCCTCTTTTATGTTGGATTTGGTGTTACTCCTGACCTGCATGGCAGATAACCATTCTTGTCTGTTATCACCGGGCTGTGACCTCATCACAGCTGGTTATCACAGCACAGCTTTTACTTCCAGACTTGTCTTTATAAGTACCAGACTAGTCTCTACAAGTTTTCTATTACAGACTGGAGCTGGTCCTGTTTAAGGGCCTGCTCCTTACATATGCCCCACAACCTGGCCCTGTATCCAAGGGAAACTCCTTGGCTGACCAACTTGCCTCCGTGGGAATTTTTATAGTCATCCTTGAACAAGCAAAGAATTTTTACTCACACACCTGTCCTTAAGGATTACAATCCCAGCCAGGCGGTGGTGGCGCACGCGTTTAATCCCAGCACTTGGGAGGCAGAGGCAGGCGGATTTCTGAGTTCGAGTCCAGCCTGATCTACAGAGTGAGTTCCAGGACAGCCAGGGCTACACAGAGAAACCCTGTCTCGAAAGGAAAACCAAAAAAAAAAAGAAAGAAAGAAAGAAAGTTTTATGTTTTTAGGGCCATTGTCAACTGAACATTAAAGGGGGAAGAGGTTGAGTCTTGCCTTTTGAGCTCGGTTTGGAGGGTCTGGGGTACCCTTTCAAGTATACCTTGTCCTTTCAGATTATAAGGGATCCTTGTATGCTGTGTAACTTCCCATGTAGAGCAGAAGGTTTTATTTAAAAAAAAAAAAGATTTATTTTTTTTATGTAGATGAGTCACTGTAGCTGTCTTCAGACACACCAGAAGAGGGCATCAGATCCCATTACAGATGGTTGTGAGCCACCATGTGGTTGCTGAGAATTGAACTCAGGACCTCTGGAAGAGCAATCAGTGCTCCTAACCCCTGAGCCATTTCTCCAGCCCAAGCAGAAGGCTTTTAAAGTGAATGCTGGTCAAGGCTGGGCTGTTACAAGACTTGATTTGTTGTGGCAGGCTCACAATAGTGAATGAGGAGCTGGTGTGCCACACGTTTTTTAGAGCTTTCTCCCTTTTGGGCAGAGGCCCATATGAAGTGGGAGTGTGTGTCTATTGTAACAAAAACATGTTTTTTGTCCAAATTGGAATTTGTAGGTGACATCAATCTGCCAGAGGGCAGTGGCCTTGAGGCTTCTGGGGTTAACTCCCATTTGTTGTATTTCAGGGGTGATAATTAGCGAGGCCCATAAACTGCAAGTTTTTAGTATCCAGTGGAATAATCAGAAATTGGGATTGTAATCCTTTTTTTTGTTTGTTTTTTTGTTTTTTTCAAGACAGTGTTTCTCTGTGTAGCCCTGGCTGTCCTGGAACCTACTCTGTAGACCAGGCTGGCCTCGAACTCAGAAATCCGCCTGCCTCTGCCTCCCAAGTGCTGGGATTAAAGGTGTGTGCCACCACCGCCTGGCCAAAACTTTCTTAATACATGTAAAAACATAAAATATCCATCCCATAATCCTTCATTGGCGTACACCAAAATTGACACCCCCCACCGTTGGTGAGATGGTGGGATCCCCTAGACAGGATCTAGAAGGGACCAGACCCCCCTCCTCACGATGAGAAGGGGTTTTGTTTATGTTTTCCCACAGGATCAGTCTCAGCCTATCTGGATATCAGCATAAATTATCTGGCAACTTCCCACCCACTAAGAAGATGGCTTATTGCTGACAGGAAAGGGATGGAGGAGATCCTTGTGAAAGAGGAATTTTAAGTTAGTTAAATAGTATAACAGGAATACAAATAGTTAAAATTGCAGGTCAGCTAGCTTGCTAACCCAAGGCTGTTACAGGGGATGCAGAACAGGGAAACAAAGGTCAACTGAGTGTTTCGGGGATCTGTTCCTGTGGTGTCTGACTTAGCCTCCTCTGGAGAAACTCCCACCAGAGATCGCAAGGACTTGTGAATTAAATTCAGCCAGATGGTCTGTCGGCTCAGATAAGCATTCACACTGGGTCCCAAGGCCACAGGGACCAAAGACTATTCTCGTGAGATTTGTCAAACCTCTGTCTGGGATCTGCTTACACACATTACAGACATTTGAAATAACCAATTGTGTGTGATTACCCACAACCCTCTCCTTCCCCCCAGCGTTTGCATATAAAAACCCTAAGCTATTAGGTCTCAGGGTCGATTACCCCTACTTCCTGCATGAGGCACGTATCGACCCAAAGCTTCCTATATTAAAGAGAACCTGACTTATGTTATGACAGCAAGCTGGTCTCAGGAGTGTCTTTAGGGTCGCATCATACCCGAGTCTATTTTTGGTTCTGGGGGTCTTTCACTTGAGATACCCTCTAACAAGGAACCAGATCACCTAGAATGACCTTCATGACCTGGTGGCAACTGCACAATGTATATTCTCAAGTTCCTCTGTCTCTGTTACCTCTGTCTTTGTTATATTGCAGGCCTGTCCCACCTCCACTCAACCCCCCCGCCTTCCCCCCCCCCCCCCGCCATTCTGTTCCCAACACCTACCACTGGCATT